GCTCCAATCTTGATGCCACATTCTTCTTCATATAAGTCCTCCTCTCTGATTATTTGCTCCAGATATAGATTGAATTAGTATAGTGAGAGGATACAACCCTGACACACACCTCTCCTGATTTAAACCATGCAGTATTCCCTTTTGTTCTCACAAATTGCCTCTTGATCTATGTTCTACTTCTGGATAATTACAAAGAAGTGTTCTGAAATTCCAATTCTTTTCAAATTTATCCACAATTTATTATGGTCCACACAGACGAATGCCTTGGAATATTCAATAACATACAAAAAATATCTTTTGGTATTCTCTGCTTTCAACCTAGATCCATTTGTCATCAGCAATAATATCTATTGTTCCATGTCCTTTTCTAAATCCTGGCTGAACCTCTGGTAGTCTTTGTCAACATACTGCTGTTGTTGGATAACTTTGAGAAAAATGTTACTAGCATGTGACAGCAACATTTTTTTAAATAATTTGAGCATACTGTTGGGTCGCTTATCTATGGAATACATATACATATGGCTCTCTTCCAATCAGTTGGCCAAGTAGATGCTTTCAAAATTTCCTGGTATAGACAAATAAGTGCTTCCAGTGCTTCAGCAGCTTGTTGAAACATTTCAGTTGGTACTCCATCAATTCCTGGAGCCTTGTTTTTGACTAATGCTTTTAGTGCAGCTTGAAAGTCTTCCTTCAGCACCACTGATTCTTGCTCACATGCTGCCTCTTACAACGGAGGAATGCCGACTAGTTCTTTTTGGTACAGTGACTGTATTCTTTCCATCTTCTTTTGATGCTGTCTGCATCATTCAATATTTTGCCCATAGAACCTTTCATTATTGCAGCTCTAGGCTTGAATTTTTTCTAGAGGTCTTTTAGTTTCCAGTATGTGAACGTGTTTCCCTTTTGGTTTTCTAATTCCAGGTTTTTGCACATATTTTTTACTTTGTCTTCTGGAGCTGCCCTTTGCAACTTTATATTCAACTCTTTGACTTCATCATTTATTCCATTTAGGTGTGAGACTTTCTTTTCATATCCATTTTGACCTTTTCTGTCTTTCTACTGACCTTTTACTTTCTTCATGAATGATGTTCTTGATGTCCTCAGGACTTTTGTCATTAGTGTTCAAAGCAGCAAATATGTTCTGGAAATTCAGGTGAGATAGGCTGGCTCTTAGGGACTTGTTTTGATTTTCTTCAGCTTTATCCCAAACTTATATATGAGCAATTGATGATCTGTTCCATGGTCAGTCCCTGGCCTGGTTTTAGCCACTGGTATTGAGTTTCTCCATCATCTCTTCCCACATATGTCATTCATTTAATTTCTTTGTATTCTACATTGAAATCTATGTGTACACTTCCTCTTTTGTAGTCACCTTATATTATTAAAAAAAAAGTATTTTCTATGAATAAGTACTAGGTCTTGCAAAATTCTCATCATAAGGATCTCCAGCTTAGTTTCTATCACCAAGACCATATTTTCCTTCCTTGGTTTCCAACTTTTGCATTCCCGTCACCAATAGTTATCCACACATTTTGATGACATGTTTGAGCAAAATGTGACTGAAGATGCTGGTGGAATTCTTTAATTTCTGAATCACTTGCTTTGCTGGCTGGTGCATAAACTTGAGTGATGAATGCCTTTTATTGTATTTCCTTGATAGATATAATCCTGTCACAGTCAGCATTGTACTTCAAGGCAGGCATTGACATGTCCTTTTTGACAAAGAATGCAATGCCATTCCTCTTGATTGTGTCATTCCCAGCAAAGTAAACCATGCTTTTCTGGTTCAAAATGGCCAACACCAGTCCAGTTCAGCTCACTAACAACTAGGATATTGATCTTTATGTGTTCCATTTAATTTTTTATGACTTATACTTTTTCTACATGCATACTTCATACATACAAAGTTCAATTATTAATTCATGCTTGTAGCCATTTCTTCTTATATTGAGTTGAGCCTCATTAGCAAATGAAGATACCAAAGGCTTTCATCCCACAGGCTTTACTCTATGTCAACAAGATTGATTTTATTTTGAGAAGGCAGATTCTCTTTGGTCATATTTCGAGTGTCTTTCATCCTGAAAGGCCCATCCTCAGGAACTATCTTTGACAATGTTCTAATTTCATTCATTAGGCCTACAGTATCTGACAATGTTTCAAAGCTATGAGTAAGGTTTTCAGCTATTTCGTGTAAAGTTGACAACTGGTTCCTTCTCTGCTTTCTGTTCCTTGTCTGGAAGCGCCACTGAAATCTGTTCACTTCGGGTTGACTCTGCTGGCATTTGAAATATGCCATTTGAAATACCAGTGATCTAGCTTCCAACATCACAACACACAAGCCACCACAGTATGTAACACTAGAAGACACATGGTGGAGATGTTACAGTGCAATAAAATTTGGGGATCTGAACATATCTAGACATGTAATAAGGAGCCCTGTTGGCACTGTAGGATAAATTTTGGGTTACTGTGGTAGTTACATAATCTGTTGTCAATTTGAGACTTAAGAGTAAGGGGGTGGAGTTTAGCCTATCAATCAGGTCACAGTTGATGACCTCATTTGGAGGCGTTAAGGAAATAAGTAACTCGTTGGAAGCAGGACACACAGACATACTCCCTGCAAGACACTCCTGTTGAGAAGACACATGGAGCTATGCTAGAGTCCTGGAGCTGAAGGAGCCATGCGGAGACCCCTGCCAGCACTGAGATGCTTACAACACCACTGGATCCACAAGACTTTCCACCCACTGACCTGTGATCTTCCTGCATTCAGCATCATTGCATGTCTGCGTGAGTCTGGAGAGGAATTTATAGATTGGTATAGAACATATGGGCAAATAGCAGACTTTTGGACTGAAAATGAACTGGGCTGAAACGTTTTCTTAATGCACAATTACTCTTTGATATAAAGTTTTTCTCTTATACACAAGCGTCTATGAATTTATTTCTCTAGTCAATCCAGACTAACACAGCTACTAGCCTCAAGGTCAGTGGCTTGCACTCACCAACCAGCCACCTCACAAAAGAACCAGTAGTCAGTTTACTTCCATAAAGATGTATAGCATTGGAAACTACTGGGATCAGTTCTACTCTATCCTGTAGATTTATGTCAGAATGAATTCCATACAGAGGATTAGGGATATATTTCCCAAGAGTTTAATACCTCAAAACTATCTATCACTTCTCAAATCATACAAGGCCTCAATCTGTTTCCTTTTTCTTTTTTAAAATAATTCTCCCCCTGCCTGCCCCCAGCTCCCCCCGCCCCCCCGCCCCTGCCCCCCACCACACACACAGACACACAGCCTTCTTGGTTCATTTTCTTTCATCATCCCCTTTCTTCTATGGTTTTGATCCTGCTCTCCTTGCTTCAGGGTTATTATTGTGTTTCTCAATTTTATAGAGTACAAATCCTACACTAGATAAGGATTTGTAAACATATAGCTTATAATGGCAGGCAATATCCAGGGCTTTTGATTCCCAAAGCCCACGTTATTTCAATTTACCGTCCAGTTTTGTTTTCATTTGCAAGTACATTTATCTGTAATATACAATATTTTAAAATTACCCTTAAGAAGTTTGAAACAACTTAGTTGTTTTGGATGATAAATGGTGCAAAGTAACTTAGAATATTTCAAAACAAATGCAACTTGAGAATTCTACCTCTGAATCACTCACTATCACCAACCAACAAGGGCCTAGGATACAATTAAGTCAACTCTTATTAAAGTCTAAGAATGTTACTGTCATCTAAAATAATAAATACAAAGGTGCCTCAAAATATAGAGGGGGAGGGAGGAGAAAAAAGAGGAGCTAATATCAATGGCTCAATAGAAAATAAAGGTCTAGAAAAGAACAATGGCAATATATGTACAAATAAGCCTGATACAATTGATGTGTGGGTTGCAATAAGAATTGTAAGAGCTCCCAATAAAATGATCTTTTAATTTAAAAAAATTTATAGATTCCATTCTCTTTTCATGCCATTTTCCCACAAACTTATTGTTGTCCTCGTCTATATTATTAAAAGCAAAATTCCTCATTTCTATGAGGAGAGATGCTAACTCTTTTTACAATGAGTAAGCAGGCACATAGAAATGCTGATACAGCCAGAAAAAAAATCAGCGATACTGACACCACTCCTCCCAACTCCAGCCTTCTTAAATGGTTCTTCATTGCATTTAATAAGCTCTGTTATGGATGAAAACATCAGTAGTAAGGATGAGGCTTAAAAGGAAATTGTTACTGATAGCAGAACATAACTCAAGGAGCACCACTGTAATCCCTTTAAGCTTCTCTTCTAGATAAGAGAAAATCCAAATTAGAAACAAGTCAATAATGGCAAATGTCTGTTGTTTGGTCATGGTAAACTTTTCATTATAAAGAATATTCTCAATAAACTTTTCCTATAGGCAACCAGCTCTGACATAATTTTATGAATATTTACTCAGTATAATGATACACATCAGAAGAGAATTTTAGTTCTGTATATTTCAGAAACTAGATTCACTATTCACCAAAAAAGCATACATGGTTCTGTTCTAAGCAAAGTAAAATGGAAACTGTACAACAAAATCTTCCTACAAAACTCAGTTTAGCCCAGGGTTCATATGATCTCAACTCTAAAAATTATTTTAGATAGTCTATTTAGAGAAAATAGGAAACGGTGATAAATACAACTGAAAATAGAAGACATCTAATATGTTAGCCATTAGAACTTAAATTCTATGGTCAATGCTAAAGAAGGTTCTTGGTTGCTCTATCACTAATTAAATTTTTAAAAACCACTGTTATTATATTTTTCATTCCTTTGACAGACAGATTCCATAGATAATGGAATAAGATAACATTCCATTTGATATGGAAAAACATGGAAGTACAGGTAAACAAAAACAATATATTATAAAGTTCCTCTACCATACAACTGCCACCCCCTACCCCCAAATTTACTAGTAAATATTTCATCGAGCTAAGTTCAGGAATCTAAGTTCTTCACTTACCTGAAGTTATTGCAGCCAAGGACTACACCAACTATGTTCTTTCCTATGTCATGCACATCCCCTTTAACAGTGGCCAACACAATAGTGCCTTGGTAAAGATCCTGAGGAGAAAGGGAAACAGTCAAGCACTAATTGCTGTTATCATGTTAGAGCAGATATTACCTAGTCCTCTAATGTCTTATAGATATTGATACAGAAAGCAGTTTAACACAAGTGAAATCATTTGAAAGATACACGCAGAATTTGTCACAGGCTGTCTAAACAGAAAACCATAAATCCAACTAGTTCAAAGGAAACCTACATTGTTGGCTATTTCAGGGGACTAAACTTTTTAATTAAGATCATGAACTCAATCACATCAGTGAACAATTTATGTACCAACATAAAACAGTCTTATAACTTAAGGCAATATTCTTCACTGTCCAAACCCGATTGGGTTTAATGTTAGAAGTAAAGGAATAGGAAAGAGGCAGAGTGAGAACTTAACTAAAATATGTCCAATCAGAATTGAAAAACCAACATAACAACCCAGTGCAGAAGAATATTCAATTATTTCCTATTTCTTTACCATTGCTATAACATGCATTGTCAGCATCAACCGAAAAAGAAGAAGAAAAGGCATATAGGAAAACTGGAATGTTTATGAACACAAGCTATGTCTGGTTTCTGCCATTCACAAACTCCAATCAATTTAAGAATTCAGGATACTAAGGATCAGAACCGACTGAGAAACACAGAGAACTAAACATCTTAAAAATAAAACAAACCAAAAAAGCTTTGGTGATTTACTACAGTGGAGCAGCCAACAAGAATTAACCTGTATCTAGAAGTGATGCCAAAGACATTAGCAGTATACAAAGAATATTCAGTTAAGGCTTTTCCAAAAACAGGCATTACTCAATTTCTTCAAGTGTAGAGACAGTCTGGTTCACAAAACCTGACAGAGTAAGAACTTTGTAAAAGGTCGGTGGATGAATAAATAGAGAAATGAATGAGCTGCTTTTGTCTTGAAAACATGGGCTTTGGTTGAAAAATTATGTTTATTTTGAGAATTTCATAAAACCATATGAATAGGAAAATCCTGGATTATCCTGATACTTGATAAAAGAAAGAACCAATGCCTGCTCACGTCTCTATTTTATCTTCAGGGAAACCCAAATACTTAACACTCCATACCCTCTCATTCCCCTCCCACTGGCATCTGCACCAACTCCTTAGTGGGGAGTGGGAAGGGAGGAGGAGGGGTAAAAAGGAAGATGAGCTGATTCTGGGAACCCAAGAGGAAAGTGAATTTTGGGAATGATGAGGGCAACAGATGCATAAGTGTGCTTTACACAATTGATCTATGTATTGTGATGAATTGTATGAGCCCCAATAAAATGATTTAAAAAAAAAAAGAACAAAAAGAGCCCTCAACAACTTGCCGCCTCTTTTATTGTCCCAGTGAGCACTCTAGCTTCTTCCTTTTCTTTTTCCATGAAGGGAATCAGGTGGCCAACAGCCTTCTTCATGACCCGAGCTGACTTTATGACCTAGGGAAATAAAAAGAGTTAGATACCTTTATCAAATGACCTCCTACTTAGTCTGGAGGCTAAAATAAAACAATCCTCATAAGTGGATTAATAAGCAACACCATTTGTTAAAACAAAACAAAAAACTGAAGTTGTCAAGGATTTCGTTTTACTTGGAACCATATCCACTGCCTTAAAAAACAGCACCTCAGGAATCAAAATGATGTATTGCAATTAACAAAGAGGTCTTACAAAAGACCTCTTTAAGTATTAAAACACAAGATGCCATTTTGCAGACTAAGGTGCACTGACCCACACCAAGGTATTTTCAACTGTTTCATATGCTTGGGGATACAGGACAACGAATAAAGAAGGCAGGGGAAGAATTGATGAATTTGAATTTTTCATGAATACTGAATGTACTACAGATGGCAAGAAGTACAAACAAATCTATCTCAGAGGTACAGTCAGAACGTTTACAAATGAAGGTGACAAGACTTTTTCACACATACTTTGGATATGTCATCAGGAGGGACCAATCCCTGGGAAGGATATCATGCTTAAAGAAATAGGGGGTCAGTGAAAAAAAGGACTATCTTCAATGAGATAAATTGGCACAGTTGCTGCAACAATGGGATCAAACATAGTAAAGACTGTGAACATGGCACAGAATTAGGTGAGTGTTTGGGTCACTGTGTGTTACAGATAACGTGCTACCACTTGTGAGATCTTAGCAGAAATTAAGAATGTATGATTGATATAGTGGAGTCTTCTTGATAGTGAAAAAGATAAAGAATAAGCTCCTTGTGGGGAAGGCCAATGAATTATGTACAATGAAAAACTACACTAGAAATTTAGAATGTGCAATTTCTTCCCTACAAATTCTTGCACATCATTTTCCCTCTGTCTAGAATTTCTTTAACCATTCCAAGTTATTTAGAGCCTCCAACATTCCTAACCTTCCTTTTCAAAATTCCCAGTGTGTGAGTCACAATTAAGCACTATGCATAAGCAAAAACAAAACCCTTTAGCTTTTTGTATTCCTCCAAGCTAGATGTTCAACAAATATTTGTTAACTAATACGATTTGTAGCTGTTGCAACTCAAAGTACGTTTCTGAGTTTTATTTGAAATATTTAATGGACCACTACTAGAAACAAAGTTTATGTGTTTTATCAGAATATACATCCTTAGAGATAAACACTGACTGGTCATAGTAAATCTTAATATTAATTACATTTGCCCTAGGGTTTATTTTGTTTTGCTGGATAAGAGATACAGGCATTGAGAGTAAGAGGCAGTACAGAAGATTAGAACAGAAAGATTAGGATGCTAAGCATGCCCAGGTAACATATCACCACATCAAAGATGTAATTTTAGACATTATTGGTACTTTTCAATACATTTAGAGAAAGAATCTCCAGCTCTCCATGCCTTTGAGCTCTTGTTCAAATTAAATCCCAAGAGATATACTCAAGGATTCTATATATTACAAGATACAAAAAAGATTCGATTGTGATCATTTTTTCCCATCTTTGGCCCACCTGAGGTAGAAACATTTTCCCAGCTCCAAAAAGATCCCCAACAACTTTCATGCCATTCATTAGGGGTCCTTCAATTATATACAGAGGTCGAGAATATTTTTCCTGGTTTAACCTGGCTTCCTCAGTATCTTCAATAATATGTTTCTCGATGCCCTATAAAAAATAATAAATGAATAAATGAAAATCACATAAAAAATCCCCATTTACATCCAAATAGCCCACAAAGGAAGAATTACAAAATGTTAACTGGATGGGTTAAAGTTCTGTCTTTTATATCTAATCCAGGCATTTTTTTATGCTTTGCTCCTCTGGTTCCCTTAATTAAAATATAACAATGGTCTTATACACACATTTGGGGATTAAATGAAATAACCCATATAAGGTACTTAGTTGGTTTTTCTGTGTAACATATAAAAGTGTACAAAGAAGTACTCATAAATAAAATTCAAATTCATAATAAAACATAGTATTCCAAATTATATATTAATACCATATATACTTGAGTATGAGCTGACCGAAATATGTGCTGAGGCACCTAATTTTATAAAAGCTGCGTTAAAAATGTGCTGAAACACTCGGCTTATACATGAGTATATATACAGTAAATATCTCCTATGAAGTCCATGTTTTTTCACTGTAATGGTAAAGGGATGAAGAAACAACAGTAAGCAAAAGCCTTAGTTGAAAGCTGAAACCCATGAAGTCCTCCACTGTAGTGTCCAACCTCCACTAATTATGTCATACTCCCCTGGAGGCCCCAGGGCAAGGATTTTTGGAAGTGGCTGACTAGTTTGACAACCTGAAATAAGTGAACTGCACAAGACTTCTAGAATCAAAAAGAAACCTATTACTTTGTTCGCTAGACTCACAAATAAGGAAACTGAAGATGAGATCATTTATCTTTCCTAAAATTCCAGTCATCAGAAGATCCAGAATTTACTTGCTGATTGACATCTAATTGGTCTAAAACAGGGCTTCTCAGTCTCAACGTCATCAATATTTGTGGCTGGGTAATTCTTCATTGTGCGGGCTATCTACTGTGCATTACAAGGTATTTAGCAACATTGCCAACCACTAATATTAACAGCACTGCCAAACACTTTTAGCAATGAGAACTATCTCCAAATATTACTATGTTACTTTGGGGTCAAAATCAGTGTAATGAGACCACTGGTTTAGTCTCCTCCTCCAGCACTAACATTAAGCATGTATGATGAGTCCCAGCACGTCTATTTTATGCTCAGTGTTTCCACGACTCACCTTGACAAGGGCGTACTCAAGGCGCTCTTCAATGGGTCCATTTCTCCACTCATCTGTCTGAATGACTTTCTTTCCTCCTTTTCCATGAGTCTGAATCAAAATTAGAAAACAAAGAAGGGAGCTTAACTAAACCATGTGGCAGCAAAAATTGTGCCATACTCTTTTCTTAGGTTTCCAGTAACTAAGAAAAGTGCTTAGCATGAATTAAGATCTCAAAAACTGTTTGAGAAAGAAGAGAAAAACAGAAATCTTTCAGAATTTAAACACTTATTAAAAAGGCAGATGAGGTTTCTGTTTTTTTTTTCCTTCTTTCCTAAAAGATAAGGATTGGACAAAATATTTCCAAGGCAATAGAACAAAAAAGATGAGCTTTTAAAGCTCTCAACTAGGATTACCATTATTCATAAAAGTGTAGGGAGGCTATAACCGAACTAAGTGAGACATGATTTTAGAGGGGGCACATTAAGAGGTTTAAGACTCAAGTCTATGCTCTTGAAGACTTTGTGGGAAATAACCAAAGAAAGGTAAACACTGAGAATGACATTGTGTCAAAGGTTGAATGAGTATATGATATAAACTAGAGAATTTTGAAGAAAGCGTGGTCATCAGAAGCTGGGGTTTGATGAACAGCTTTGAGGAGCTGGCTTTTGATAAGGGGCAGATTGAGCAATGGGACCAAAGTGGAAATGAACATAGTACCTGTATGAAGTAAACAGAATTGCTTTATCTGTTTCTCTATCTCAACTGTTGGCAACAGCTGCCCAAACCAGAAACCTAGGTATCAATTCTGAATCTCCAGTCATTCCTCAAATTCAACTAATCACCTAATCCTAATGATTATACTTCAATATTTCTTCTCTCCACTCCCACTTCTATGCTCATAGTCAAGAAACTAACTGGTCTTTGCAGTACAGAATCACTCTGGTCCCCAATATAACTCAGAGGGGATTTTCTAATATGCAAAATCTGACTATCATTCTGTAAAAGTCCTCTCAATACAAAGCACCAACCCTTAACATGCCACACTTGGTCCTGGTCTGGTTTTTCCCTACGGCTTCATCTTTTTTGAGTCCCAACAAGTATCAGCCATCACGAGCAGTTTGGATACTCCTAATCCTCAACGTCTCAATGTCATACCAGGGTACTTCTTTCTCTTTGTAAATGACAAGAACCTGATCCAGGTAACGCTGGCTCCATTTGAGCAATTAGAATTATTTGTAGAAAACAGATTGCCAGATGCTTGTTAGGACAGGATCTAAACTCTAGTCATCTTTGCTCCCAAGAGCTGCTTTCGAAATCTACATTCTGTCAACAATAAAGTTGATAAATCAAGGCTGCATCAGTTTTCTTCACTGTATTTGCTTATGCACCCATTTTGTCTTCAGCGATCTTGTCAGGAAGGTGAGCATCACAGAATGCCGGATTCTTAGAACAAAGTATTCCTGTGTTGATGCAGTAGTTGAGTTGAGGCCCAATGTCCATCTCCAATCTTAATTCTTAACTTATAGATATGAGTACATAGTTCTATCCCCTCTAGTTATATGTATATATATATATATTTTAACATATATACATGTCTGTATTTAGACCTTGATATAGTTTATTATGCCAGCCTGGCCGATAGGATTAACTGAAGGGCGGAGAGATAATGGCTTGGTGAGCCTCGCCTTTCTTGTCTCTTGCTCTTTGATCATCGGACAAGTGTGCGCCTGCCTTGCTTGTTCTTTGCCTCAATTTATAGGCTACATTACCTGTGGGATGCCTAGCCTGTGGACTGTGTCTCTGTATGTTTAGGTCCCTTTAAGACATCTCTGGAGCTAGGGACTGGCAGATGGGACTGGTGGTTAGTTGACAGTTGGTGATCTGCCTTGTGATTGGCTGCTGTGCTGAGATAGCCTCACTCTATAAATAGAGGGAGATCTGGCAGCAGAGAGATGAGAAGGACTGCTAGTCTCTCACAACTCTGAGCCATTTGTAGTGCTTATAATTTAACTGTTCATTTCTTATATTACATATTTATCTGTATATGATTTAATAGTTCACTTCTTGTTATATATCTAATTATATGATTTAACAGTTCATTTCTTGTTATATATCTAATTATCTTTATAAATAAATATATTTAATTATCAGCAATTTGGTTTTATCTCTCTAGAGAACCCTGTCTAACACAGACCTCTATAAATGTCCTTTGCTTCCTGGTTTGTTCCTCTATTTTCTTTTACTTTCCTATGGTCCTACCATCATCATGTTCGGTGCCTAGCTACCAAAAGACATAATGTCTTGGATATTAAAGGCTTGAAGATAAACAGCGGCCATGTGGCTCAGAAACAACAAAGCCCACATGGAAGAATTACACCAGTCTGTGTGATCATTAGGTGTTGATGGGTCCAAGTATCAGGCATCTAAGGCCCAGAACAAAATCATATTTAATGTGAATGGGGTGGCAGGGGAAGCGGAGGGCATGGAGTGGAGACCCAAAGCCCATCTGTAGATATCCCCTCACAGAAGGGTCAGAGAGAAGAAATGAGCCAGTCAGGGTGCAGTATAGCAACTTTCCTCTAGTTCTTTGGTGCTTCTTTCCCCCACCCTACTATCGTGACCTGTGACCTCAATTCTACCTTACAAATCTGATTAGTCCAGAACATAAACACTGCTACAGATAAGAGCCTGCAACACAGGGAATCCAAGATAGATAAATCCCTCAGGGCCAACAATGAGAGTAGAGATACCAGGAGGATTAGGGGAGGGTGGGAGGGAGAAAGGGGGAATCGATCATAAGGATAAACCTACACTCCCTCCCCAGGGGATGAAAAGCAGGTGAGGGGCGATGGAGGACAATATAAGATATGAAAATAGTAATCTATAACTGATCAAGGGTTCCTGGGGGGGGGTGTTGGAGAGGGAGGGGGAAGAAATTAAGGGGCTCGGGTGGCAAGAGAATGCTTTGAAAATGATGATGACAGCTTAAGTGCAAATGTGCTTGACACACTGGATGAATGTATAGATTGTGATGAGATGTAAGTGCCCCCAATAAAGGTAAGAAAAAAAAATCAAGGCTGCAGCTTATATTGTCCTAGCCTTCTGCCAGTACATTAGCATTTCTACCAAGAGTTTTAAATTCAAATTTGAATTTGGAAATCATTCACATAGTTGGCAATAAAGTATGTTAACATTTCTCCAACATGCTTTGTTAGCAAAGTGGCTTCCTCACTAATCACTCTCTTACACTAACTAAAATGTTGGGATTTAAAATTTTTAGATATAAGGTTTCCTTAATATGAATTCTAGGAAGTGATACCCAAGAGAGACACTTGTAAAACTGTGCCAGACATACCATATATAATGGATGAGTATCATCTGCTTTTTGGATTAAGTATAGTTCTCATTTCAATAGATCTGATGTGTATTTTCAAGCCTTGAACTTTAGAGCCCCAAATGGACCAAATTTTAACACGAGCAGGTTCATATATGTGCAACAATGGAAAATAGTCACCAGTAACACAGACCCACAGAAAACACAAATAGCTATTTTTAATGATGAAGAAAATATTAAATAATGTGGGAAGGTAGTTAACGATAAATGTTACTTTGATAAGAGGAAATTTTATATTTTAAAATAAATTTAAATAAAAGTAAGTTAATATCACTGAAAGAGTCTAGGTATGGCCTATTTCTCTTGAACTCTTTATATAAAATTCCATTGACCCAAAGTGTCACTTGGGTGACATATTTTAAATACTTGCTTCTCTATAACGAAGGTTTAATACCACGAGTAATATAATGAAAGATAGGAAAAAAACACCCACTGAACATTTTCTCTTCTACCTGTGTATAACGTAAGAGCTTCTCCGTAGCTTCAGGATCTTTATTCCATATGAGATCCTCACAGAGGTGCAGAAGGTCCTTAGGGATATCATCATATACAGGGAGGTTTCCAGCATTCACTATCCCCATGTCCATACCAAACTAAGAGTAACAGAAAGAAAACTAAGGTCTTCCACTCATACTCTATATTAGGGATCACCTTTTTCCCCCCTATCACATTAAAAAGATTTGAAGTCATACAATCATTGTTGCAACTACTTAATTGTGCTGCGATAGTACGAATATTGTCATTGACAGTCAGTCCCTAGGCTATGAATACCTAACTTAACTACTAATTTGACTTAGACACACTTAAAAACAGATTTCTTTTTGTAACTTGAAGATTGTATAAGGGACAAAAGAACAATTAAAAAAATTCAAACCTGTTACCAGTAAGCCTATTCCAACTCACAGCATATTCACAAGACAAAGTAGTACTGTCCTACTGCATTTCCAAGGCTATAATCTTTACAGAAGTTGACTAACACATCTTTCTCCTGCAGAGCAGTGCATGGGTTTGAGCCACCACTCTTTCAGTTAGCAGCTGAGTGCTTAACCATCAATCAATAAAACTTTGCTCATATATTTGGCCTGCAGGCTGAAGTTTGCCAGCGTTGACCTAAATCCAAGCTGTTTTCAACAAGACAAACAGGTCTTCAACCATACCTTGATTGCATGGTAAAGAAAAACTCCATGCATTGCTTCTCGAATGGCTTCCATTCCTCGAAAGGAGAAAGATAGGTTGGAAAGACCTCCACTTATTTTTGCTCCAGGTAATGTTTCCTGATTAGAAAAAACATTTAATGAAAAAAGATTCCCCTGTTTTAACCAATGCAATGGTTACTTCTCATAGAATTTATATATAAGAAGAAAACAGAACACATAAGAGGACTATTTTATTAAACATAAACCAAAACTTGACATACTATGGAATCATCAGCCATAACTTTACAATTTTTCTATCAGATTCAAATTTTCCTAAGGGCAGGTACAAAATAAAGGAAAGAAATTATGCTTTTGAATTATAGTATTGATGGAGAATACCAAATATACCCATGGATGACCAAAAGACAAACATATCTCTCCTGGAAGTACAGCTGGAATGGTCTTTTAGAACAGATGATGGGGAAACATTATCTCACGTACTTTGGATATGTTATTAGGAACGACAGTCTCTGCAGGAAGACATGATGCTTCATAAAGAAAAGGTTAATAAATAAGGAGACCCTAACCTAGACGGATTGACAGGGTGGCCGCAACAATGGGGTGAAATATAATAACAACTGTAAGATTTCACAGTACCAGGCAAGTGTTTCATGCGGTTGTATCATAGTTGTGAGTCAGTACTGACGCAATAACATCTAACCACAACAATAATATCTCTGTAGTAACCAGGACAATGCAAAATACTTGAGTGCCCCATAAAATATGTACTTAAGAATGACAGTGATGTAAGAGTCAGAACTAGAGATAAATATAAGCAGACAGTTAATGAGGCTCCTAACACACCTTATATCAATATCAAGTATTAGCATCCATGTGGAACAAGAGGAACTCATTTATTATTAGTTATAGTGTGAACTGGCTTATATATTTGGGGAGACAGTGTGTCTTTATCTACTGTTATGTCCCAATGAAAATAAGTCTACTTCTTAGTATGTTCTGTAGAGAAAGTCATGCACATCCACCCAAGATATATATACATGAATTTTCATGGAAGCATTGTTCATAATGTGCCCAAAGTAGAAACAACCCAAATGTCCATCAACAACAGAATGGTTAATTACAAAGTAGTTATACAATAGTAGATATAATAATATATGCAATATACTCTTGCATAACTACTTTTTAATTAAGGATCTACATATAACCTCCTGTCTGGGGGACAGATAACAGAAAAGTGGGTGAAGTGAGACATTGGACAGTGTAAGACAGGACAAAATAATAATAATTTATAAATTATCAAGGGTTCATGACGGAAGGGGGGAATGAGGATGGAGGGGAAAAATGAGAAGCTGATACCAAGGGCTTAAGTGGAGAGCAAATATTTTGAGAATGATGATGGCATGAGTTTACAAATGTGCTTGACACAATGGATGTATGTATGGATTGTGATAAGAGTTGTATGAGCCCCAATAAGATGATTTTAAAAAAATGAACAAGCTATAACAAAAGTAACCACTTAAAATTAAAATATGAGGCTGTGTAACAAGAGTATACAAGAATCTTATGACTGCAAGTATATTAAGTTGAAAAATTATATTGTTCAGATATACATATGTGAGTGATAAAATTATAAAGAAAAACAATAGAGTGATACCATAAAACTCAGGATGACTGCTACTTTATCAAAATTCAGGATGAAGGCACAAGTCAGCTTTAAACAAATGCAATTAAAAGATCATGTAACTTTTCCACAAACTGAAGCCCTCTTTTATAATTAGAAATCAGCACGAATTAAGTGAGGGGATACTAGCTGTTATATGCCTCATAAATCAATATTAGACACTGTGTTTCCTATATTTCGGAAACTGTATATTACACCACTCCATAATTAAAAATAAGGTTATATAAAAAATGAAATAAAGGCTTTTAAATTTCAGAATAACAATTTAGTACCCAAGAACACGACTATCAACATTCTCCACCCATGAATATATCATAAATAATTAGCTCCAACTATTCACAGAGGCCAAACAAACTATGAATTCAAGCTATGTCATAGGTTGAGAAGAGAAATTATCCAAACTTACTTTAATGGCTTTAGTTGCATGAATAAAATTAATGGCATACAAGTTGTGTTCTTCCATCCCAGTACCAATGGTAAGAATATTGGGGTCAAAGATGATGTCACATGGATTAAAGTCCAACTTTTTTACAAGTAGATGGTAGGCTCGTGTACATACATTGATCTTGGTGTCTATTTCTGTTGCCTGGATGAAAGAACAAAAATATGTTATCTGTGAAAAGAAAAGCAAATTTCACTCATCAAAAGAACTCTATATCTTGCTGTCTTTTTGATTGAGGTTTATCTCTATTTTATTTTATTGTATTTGTATATTTTCCAGTATATTAAATCCAGGATGTGTGAATGTATAGAGTCAGTAACTGGATTTTTAGAGGTGTGGGATGGGAGAAATAGAGAGCTAATAACAATGAGTAGAAAGAAGAAAATGTCCTACAATTGATCGGACAACTCTTCCTCAGGACTGTATGGTGGATTAACACTAAAACTGTTTAAAAAAAAAAAAAGACTACAGCCTTAGAAACCCATAGAGACAGTTCTATTCTGTCCTGTAGGGTTGCTATGAATCAGATTCGAATGGTACCAAGTTTACTCTTTCTTATGACCTACACACTTATTGGAAGGTGACAAAGAATTGTAAGGCTAAGGGAAAAAAATGATCAATATCTAGATTTCAAGGAATTACAATATGCCAAGCTGCATATAAACATTTATTGAGTTACTCAGAGCATCTGAAGATGCTCTTTGTGATTTCATTAGGACAGCAATAACACTGCTTCCATTTAAAAAAAAAGTAACTTATACACACATATAAGAGGGCTTCTAAAACTTCACAAAAATTTTCTATGATCTCTCAATTCCATTACTTTCATTAACTTTTTGAAAAGCCCCTCCTTATATTTTTATTACTTATTAATAAATGGGCTTGCAAAAGTAGACATGCATTTGATCAAAATTCAAACAGTTAAAAAAAACCCAGAGGATTTTAAAGTTAGTGTCCCTCCCCTCCTTCTCTTCACCTGCTTGCAACATCCTTACCTATCACCCAGGAAACTGCCACTGTTTCCTTGGACATTCTTTGACAATCGTCTATGTAGATAAAAGGAAATGTATTTGTTTCCAAACAGCACCCATCATAACACTGGATCGTTAATATATAATGAGGACCAACCTCCATTTTGGAGAATGACTGAAAATGCTTTAGGGGCCCATACAGGGGGAGTGTCCCTTGTGGTATGCACTCAATAGGCCACACTGATATGAGTTTCTGAGTGCATCCTTGGGATGCTGGGACACTGAATATTGGCATGCTCCAGAGGCTTCATCAGTGAGATCGGGTGCGGAATCTCCGCTGGGTTAACTGTTCTCTACCACACACACTTGCAACCTGAGGACTTAAGATGAAAAATTCATGGTGTCTGAGGAAGCAGAAGCAGCTATACCAAGATAATTGAATTGTTGGCAGGCGGACCACTTTGATCTTGCTACATCAATGTTCTCTATGCTGCATCAAGATATATAATTCCAGCAAATCTGTGACTGATGTTTTCCGTGAATATTATTGTAAATATTCCCTGACAATTAAATCACGTTATTTGCGTAAATGGCATCCAGCAAAGAAAGGATGGTTTCTGTACTAGTGAATAATTCAGGTACTGCGACATGGAGTTAGCCTACATTGGCCGGATATCCCTTTCTTGACAGGGCTAATCAAAGACAACAGTAACAAAAAGATGACTGTGCCCCAGGGGGATGATCAATAGGACTGTTTACCATAAATTAACAAGGTGGTTTTGAAAGGGAGCCAAAGGCCGATAATTTTTTTTTTTTAAACAGAGCCAGGAATAGGATTTGGCCCTGCTTGATACTCATCCTCAGGACAAAAACACAGAAGCTGCGGGGACTATAGCAAAATGTGGTGAAAGAAAGTAGATGGTGCCTGGTTATCAGAAAACAATAGTGCCTGGGGTCTTAAAAGGCTTGTCTCCAAACAAGCAGTCACCTAAGTGACATGTCAACTAAGTCCACAAGGAAGAAGCACACCAACTTCAATCACCAAAGGGTTGTAAATTAAAAATCTGAAGTCGTAGGAGAGAATAGTATCAGATCTTAAATTGTGTAAAACCAATTTGCAGAAGGTTATGGATGACAGTGGGAGGCCAAGATCCATTTGTGGGAACTACATAGGAAATAAGTCTCTGGTGATCCCCCTCTATCCTTAGTAGAAGGATGGGAAGGTCACTAAACAGAGTGCACTGGAGAGATGAGAAGAGAAGATCAAAATGATAAACCTGACTTGAATAGTTAAAACCTTGTCAGCTCTGATGCACACTGGGCCTGATCAGGTTTTCAATATTTTCTGTGTTTGTTTGGTTTTTTTGGTCGTTCACATTGGAGTTTACCTCAGATGTGTTATATGTCATTTGGGGTCACCCTCTTGAATATTTGTTTTACTTTTTCTGATTCTCGGTATATGAAACGCAGGATTGATGAGTCTACAAAGACAGCGGGTAGAATAAGTTTCTGGATGGTAAAACAGGGCTGATATCAAGGAGTACAAGAAGGAAAAGAATAGCTTGAAACTGATTGCGGTAGCAAATCTAAAATACTGCTTGAAGTAATTGAACTAAGTAATTATATGTTATCTGTATTAACTCCCAATAAAATAGCTTAAAAAAACAACAAAGCCAACTCAAGATGACAGCTACTTTATAAAGTTCACGATGAGGGTATGATCCAAAAAGGCAGAGATGTTTAAGGGTATAGTCAGTCTTATTCTACTTGAGAAACTAAGTGAAAGCTCTTATATGCCTTATAATTAAGTATTTATAAAATTATTTCTTGTATTCCTTACAATACTATACACATTAATATCTAAGTTGTCAAACTCAATTTGTTTCAAATACATGTACAAGCACCGAAAAATTCCAGAACTGAACATACTTCTGCCATAATAATGGAAAATCAAATAATTGTTTCCAGGACCCCAAAATTAAAATTACAAATTCATTTTTCCGGGACTTTAAATTACTCTGGAGGCATTTCGTTTTCTCACACATCACTGTTTCAGGTACATTATTGCAATTGAATTCTTTCTTTTTTTTCCTTGTTTTAAATCATTTTATTGGGGGCTCATACAACTCTTACCACAATCCATACATACATCCACTGTGTCAAGTACATTTGTACATTCATTGCCATAATCATTCTTAAAACATTTGCTCTCCATGTAAGCTCCTGGCATCAGCTCCTCATTTCCCCCACTCCCCTCCCCACTTCCCCCTCCCTCATGAAACCTCGAAAATTTATAAAATATTATTTTGTCATATCTTACACTGTCCGACATCTCCCTTCATCCGCTTTTCTGTTGTCTGTTCCCCAGGGAGGAGGTTATATGTAGATCCCTGTATTCGGTTCCCCCTTTCCAGCCCACCCTATCTCCATGGGTCTTGTCAGCAGGAATATGTCACAGGAAGTGAGCGTGTGTCCTGCATCCAAAGAGCTATTTATTTCCATAGCATCTCCAAATGAGGTAATCAAGTTGCAACCTGATTGACAGGCTAAAGTCCACCCCATTCACTCTTAAGTATTAAATTGGGATTTGTGGTAGATTATGAAACTACAACAGACCACTCCATGTCAATTTGACACTTTCACACAACTCTTTAGCCATATATAATTTACAAACCGACAATAATAAAATCTGTACCTAACAGGATAAAACTGGAATGCATAATCTCAAACACATACAACATGTACCACCCTCATTTAAACATAACATTCTGTAAGTGAACAAAACAAAAGTATCCTATGCCTAACAACTTGCATTAAGTAACACCTACACTTTAATTCTAGAATTTTATGAATATATTCCTATGAATATATTTCCTCACCTATGAAAGTTTGTAAGTCAGCCACTTCATGTCTTTATCTGCTCTATTTTGGGTATACAATTTCTATACTGTCCACTTATATCAACTCAGTGCTCTAATATGACAATCAGATTCTTTGGTATGAAGAATCTTCATTCAAATTATAACCTTATGAAGTCTGCATCTATAAGCAAAGTCAAATCAGAACTGGCCATCCATAAAGTCAGCAGCAATAAGTACCAGCTCATAGGCTCAAATATTTTCTCTTTATTTGGTTGTGTTCTGGTCAACTCAATGTGGGCTGCCTCACTTACCCTCATCAGGGTGCCCATTGGCTACCTTGCCTTTAGACCATGGACACTGTCACAAATTCTCAACATCCTTAGCCCCTTTATGCTAGGTAATGAACTTCAGACCAGTCAACCCACTCCCATCTTCTCGTCTAGTTCCTGTGAACCAGGTCCACAGATGTCATCAACCCATCTCTTTATTGCTGCATTTTTCCCACTTCAACTCAACCCATCTCTCTATTGCTGCTTTTCTCCCACTTCAACTCAACAAGTGGATCCAGGTAGTCACCAGCCTGCCCACAGGTGTCCTATAATGTTCAGTCCTAGAGAAGTTTTCTTCATGGTTCCAGATTTTTTTCAAGCCTCAAGAACAAACTGCAAGTTCAAAATACAAAAATCCAAAGAGTCTCCCACCCCCCCCACCCCCCAAAAAATCTGTGAATAGGTTCTAGGCAACGCAAATGTCCTGAATATGCCAAAGCACTACGTGGGGCTTTTCTTTTCAGAGCCTTCTTTGAGGTCATTTCTTAACACATTAAAAGATTCAAATTTCAATGGCTGAAGGCAAGGCTTACAAACTATTTTCATACTTCCCAATAATCATTTCTATCAATCAGTAAATCAACAATAAGCAGAAGAAATCAGCATAAACAAAGTAGAATCGGAACTAATCTAAATTTTAAAAGTTAGATTCAATCCTTACTTACCTTATCTTAATCCTTATCTCAACTATTCCATTGATACAACATATGGGATTAAGCCAATGGCAGCATCAAGCCAGAGCCAGGCTGACTGTTAGCCATTTTGGCCTCCTGTCAGCCATTTTCACTAAAAACTGTTCTGAGAAATTCAAGGGGCAATTTTGTCCTCTGAGCTCAAAATATACATTAATCACATTCATTATCACCATTTCAGATAAGAATAACCAAAGACTGCAACCAAAGAAAAGAGTCAACATTTTAACTTCCCCTTTTCTTTCCAGAAAACAACTCAGAAAAAAAATCTGACTTCTGGCTAGCCAAAGA